TGTGTGGGATTTGGGGAAGGGTGCCAGTGGCAAGCCTTACCCTCGCCTGTGCAATGCGAGAAGACCGCGACTCGAACCCGGGACCTTTCGGTCACGGGCGGTAAGACTCTACCGCTTGCACCAGGCCCGACAATCGCTTGAGATAGTCTGCTCTGGAAGTGTTCTTTTTTTTTTGTTTTTGTTTTGGCCGTGTGGTGAGATTTGTGACTATTCTGCCTTTTATATATGCTGTGCTCTTAGGAAAACCAATTGCTGGGAATTGTGAATCCATAGTTCTTCAACTTTGCAAGGGACGAGATTTTGAGCTGCTGTCAGCAAGCGCTTGTTGATATTTGTTATCTTTTTGTGTGAATGTACGAAACTTCTGTTGGTTCTGAAAACGGTTCTCGGCTCTGCTACACTGAGAATCGTTCCACTGTTTGCATTGCATGATGGTGCTTCGTTGCTTTGCGTGTTCGGTCTCAATTTCTCATTCGTGCTTGTTCTGAACAGCTTGCTCGAAAACCTCGTTCAACAAGATGGAATCTATCGATGATGTATCTGTGCTTAGTCCCCTGTGTCCATAACTAAAGTACTTCAGTGACCTGAAATCGTTTGCAGGCAAATGCTCAAAGGCCTTGTTTAGTTGGTGAATTTTTTTTTGGAAATGGTACTGTAGCATTTTCGTTGTTATTTGGTAATTAGTGTCCAATCATAGTTTAATTAGGCTTAAAAGATTCGTCTTGTGAATTTCGTCTAAACTGTGTAATTAGTTTTATTTTTTATTTATATGTAATGCTTCATGCATGCGTCTAAAGATTCGATGTGACGGGGAATCTTGAAAATTTTTGTAAAACTTTGGGAACTAAACAGGCACAAAATACAGAAATATGCTTTAGGGTCTGCTTGAACCTTTGCTAGCTCACCTTACCTAGCAAAGATAGGATAGACTAGCTTGGCAAGGCAAGGGCAATCAGCCTGTTCGTTTGGCTGTGGCTTGTTGTAAACGATCGTAAATTTCCAGCTGGAATAGTATTTTTTTCTCACACAAACCAGCCAGCAGTACTTCTTCATGAACCAGCAACGAAACAAATCAGCCAACCGAACAGGCTGAATATTTAGTCATCAGCCTGTTCGCTTGTTGGTTTCAGCCAGTCTAAACCAGTCAGCCAACAGTGTTTTTCTCTCAAAAAAACCAGCACTAGCCAACCAAAACCATCACCAACACCAACCAACGAACAGGCCCCTGTGTTTGGTTTGGTTCCTCATACTGTCATACAGTAGCGTCAGCAGGAGTAGGTCTGGGCAGAGAGCGAGCTAGACACAGCTAGCAAGCTTGCCCGGACAGGAGATGGGCAAGTTTGCCAGGCAAAGCTAGCTTTTTTGCTGCTACCAAAGGGTTAGCCTCGCTACAGTCATGGACAAGAGAACCAAGCACGCCCTTAGACACGATCGCAGCAGCCAAAATACAGAGTACTTTGGCTATGATTTCTGTTAGGAAATATCTACGCAGTAACAAGCCGGTACCGGTATGAAACCATGTTTTAAGACAACGATACTCGTATCATATTTTAATATCCAAACCAAACATATAAAAAGTATGGCTATGTTAACCGGAAGAGTCTTTTTTGACCAACATATCTGCGTGGAAATAGAAATAAATTTCATGGAAATACCGAAGGGGCTGAACAACCGGTGGAAATAAAAAAGATGGCCCACGATTTTTGAAGCTTGTGTTCCAAACGAGCAATTGCTTAACCCTTTCGCAGATTAAACGGGTTTGATAGTAGGCCTAGCAAGGCTCTGCAGATTTCTTTGGTTTCAAAGATGTTCCAAAAGTTGAACTGGTAAATACATATCTTTTATTTATATTAATATATGTCATATTTTTGCAAATGGCGGGCGTTAAGACTTTGTCATCCTACTACCAATGTCCAGTGGGCAGTAAAATCCAGAAAACTACTATGTACTGTTTTATCAAACTTTCAGAAGAAATCCAAACAGCCATGATATTTGCTTAAAAAACGTTAGTGGTGTAGCGGATTCTAACTTCAGACACACTACGTCTTTTCACACCAAAAAAAAGTGCAAATTTGACTTTTTCTTGTTTTCACAACTCACCATGGTACACTGTTTTATCAAACTTTCAGAAGAAATCCAGGACAATCGCTTGAGGCCCAAAACTAATCAGTCTTTTTATCAGCCTGGCCCGCCTATTGCTTCTGTCTACTGAGTGCAGTAATCAGACATTAATTGTGCAACCAACACATAAATCCATGACTATCAAAGTATCATAATATAAAAAAAATGACTATCAAAGTATCAATCTCAGTTCTCAAACATGGGAGATTAGTTGTTGCATCTACATTTGCACAATACATATACGATAGCTACAAAATAACTTGCAACCACTGAGATTTTTCAAGAACCTACATCCCACCCCACCAAAGAGAAGCAAAGACCACCCATATTCGGCTTACCCCATATTCAGTTTTTTTTTTCCAGCCGGAACAGTGTTTTTCTCTCACAACAATTCAGCCAGAACAGTGTTTTTCAGTCAGTTTCAGCCAAAATTCTGCCAGCCGAACGGGGCCTACTCTTTGATCTACACCAGTTCTTCGGCCAGGGATACATCTGGCAGTTCTTCGGCCAGGGGTACGCCTGGCAGTTCTTCGCCCTGGGGTGCGCCAAATCTGTTAAGGTGGATCCGAAGCAACAAACAAGAGTTACTATACATTCGCTTGGGCTGATTACTACTAATCACTTGTAGGGAGTCATATAATTGATTAATTGACAAAATAAGATGGGTATAAGTTGCATCAAAGATCACTTGAAACAGTAAGCTAGGTTTTACTCTGTGTCTGGGGGCTCAGGGCTGTCCAGGAAAAATAAGGCCCTTTGTCAATTTTTAAAATGAAATATAGGCCCCAAACTGAACTGCTAAATTATATAAATTATATAGTAGATGTTACTACATGTAATCCGACTTAAAACAGATAAAGGGTTGAAAATATGTCCTTCTTTTAGATGCCAAAACGTAATCAAACTAGCAAATAATCTTCACACAAAAGAGCGCCATCCATCTTGACTAACCAATGATCCTTTTAGGACTTCTCTATTTTTTTTTAAATACTGAATTGTGTATGTGTAAGGCCAAAATGAATTATTAACACTAGGACATTATCATTTAGCTTGTTGCCACTCAAATGTACAAATACACAAAAGAACAGACAGTATTATGAGAAGTTCAAGAACAAACCCATATGACAAATTATGAAAAGTGACAAAAGAACGTACTTTGGTGCGACAATTTGCTAGGACTGGTTGTTAGAGCATCTACAACATATTACTTATCCCACGTCTCCTAAAAGTATATATAGGTGATCTCCTATTATTAGTAGTATACATTTTTCTTCTTCTCGCCCAACAAATATATTACCAATACCTTTAAAATGGATAGGGGAGAGGGGGTGGGTCTCCTAGATCTGAGGGAGAGGGGGGGTGGATTTTAACTACTTAAAACTTTTAGGTATTGAGAAAGGATGAGTACTCTGTTGGAACAATCACAGTCCTTTATATTGCACATTTTGAGTATTGGGGATGAGATAAATAATCTGTTGAAGATGATCCTAGGCCCTGTTTGGTTCGCATTTTTCTCACCGCGCGGTGCGGTACGAGATCTGCAGTGGGAGAGCTGTGGTACGTAAAATCGAACTCCTAGTTCAACCTCGCAGTGGATGGGTGAGAGGGGCGGTCGTGAGAATCTTGGAGACCACAGGGTTTGGTGGGATTTTTGCCGATTCTTGCGGCTATCCATCGAATCCGATTTTAAGCGTATCCAAACAGGCTCCTAGTCCATTAGTTGATAGAACTAATTGTTACGTGACTGAAGTTTAGTCCAGTGCTGTGCTGTTTAGATATATCGACTAGTTGCTATTAGTCCACTTTAGCTCTCTTTTACCACTAGTGAATTAGTTATTAGTTGGCATGTGGACTAAAAATTAGGTCACTCATTAGTCTACTTGTTTGGATGGCCTAAGACTAAATTTTAGGTAACTAAAGTTTAGTCCGGTATCAAACAGACCCTAAACATGAACTAGCTCCAACGAACCAGCATCAGCGTGCAAATGTTTTAGAGGAAACAACAGTGTGCAAACTTGATTAATTGATCATTGCTCTAGCTATCGACCCAGGTTCGAAAGCTGGCACCTTCTTATTTCAAAGACAGGGGAGTCTTCTCCTATGGTTCAGTTTTTTTTTTTTTTTTATCATTGCTCTAGCTAGGAGCAATAATAGGTGACAAGACTAAGGACAAAAACTAAGTGTTGATAAGAAATAGATAAATAGATGAAATTGGAGTGTCCTGGGGGCTTCATGGTCTCCAACAAGTATAGTAGTATTTCTTATGGTGAAATTAAACCACACATGTAATGGGGAGGAGATTTAGGAGACCAGGTATACTCTTCACAATATGATATACTTATTGTATGGAAAAATTGCACGGAGGGGGTGTTCTGCTCTTATTTGATGTTTGCAGGAAGGTTTCAATACAGAAGGCTTAACAAAGTCAAAGTCCTAGGTAACTAAACACTAATGGTCCTCCCTGTGTTCATTCTAATTAAGGGCTGGGCCTACTGGCCTAGGCACGTGCAAGACGTGCGACCAAACAGGGCCCCTAATTTTCAGCACTTTAGTCCATTAGGCCTACTAATCTACAGTATATCCTAAAACTTCTTCATTCTTAATGATTTTTCTCCATTCAGTATTCTTTCTCTTCTAGCTAGACCAACAATATTTATGATACTAAACATTGACGAGGGAGTGACAACTAACTAGTACCGCTGTATAAATCTGGTTATTTGTGTGTCCTGGGGAGGCTTATGTACATTATTACACGGGAACAAATTCATAGATATATCTAGACAGGTAAATTCGTGTTACAAGTACCTACATGTGTAATAAAACTAATAAATAGGGACTCCCAACTTAGCAGAGGTAAGGTGAATCGTGCTATGATTAGGCTACTCGAAAAATGAAACACTGTATCAACATCATAACCAGGAATAACGTAGCAGATCAGTTCATAGATGTAATATAATGCAGCTGAAACAATCTGTATGCCATAGATTTACGGATTTACCTGTCCCAGAAGATGATAAACACAGAGGCTCCTATGGCTGCAGGCATCGCCCACAGCAGCAGTGTCAAGTGCATCGTGGGCTTAGTAGTGGTCCCGACGGTCTGGTACACAAATTGGGACGTAAGCGCCAGGGTGAAGATCCAGACGCATACCATTTCTCCTCCTCGAATTTGCTGGCGCTGCCTGGAACTTCTTGATGCAGAAGAAGAGGCCGACCATGGTGAAGTATGCGGAAACAACGAATGAGACGGCATCAGTGTCTCCCCAGGAGCGGTAGGTCGCCGTGGCGCTGTTGAAGCTTAGGAAAGAAAACCCGACGAGTTCGGGCAACCAGTGGCCAGCAGGAGCGGCGCCTGGACGACCCTGGGCTGGACGGCGTCTGCCGAAGTTTGGGAAAATCAGATCTGGACTGCGTCGGCCGCCCACAGCATCCATTGGACGCCAGGGTCGGAGCCCTGCTGACCCGAGCTCTCCTCAAGATGGCCGACGACGGCGGCCATCTTGAGGGCCACATGAGCCGGCGGCGGAAGGACGCCGGCGTTGCGCGCTTGCTGAGTCGGACTGTCGCCAGGGCTGACCGACGGCGACATCATGTTGGAGCTGGGTAGCTAGCTGCCTGAGATCGAGAAATCGAGCTCGAGAGTAGAGAGGACCGGAAGGAGACGATGGCTCGTGCCTGATTTTGACTGATTGCTTCTACTTCGTGATTACGCGCTTTGAACAGCACACAAGCAGAAGGTGGCAAAAGTCACTTTTTTACAATCTTATATTAAACTAACACGAGTGCTGTAGTTGAGGTTATGTAATGTATGCACGCACTTATAATTTGATCCCTTTCTTTGTAAATCTTAATTAATTTTACGACCACAGCCGATGAATTTTCGCAAAATATTCGACGGACAAACATTCGAATTAAAACGTTCGGCCCGAGCTGGACACGAAATAAGCCCGGCCCAAAATTCGAACCACAGGTCCAGCAAGGTCCGGCCCATGTGACGTCCCTCGCCGGCAGTGGCCGGCCGTGGACGACGCCACGACGACCAGAACCACTCCACCACCCCTTGCTCACCTCCGCGACCCGGACCAATGGCGACGCCAACGGCCTCATCCAACTTACCCCTCGCTACCGCTTCCGCCTCGACCTCCTTCCCCGACCGCTTCCTCCGCACGCCGTGCACGCTCCGGCGCCGCGCTTGGCCCCGCCTGCGGGCGGGCTCCGTCAAGGAGTGGCGCGAGTTCGAGGACGACGCGGGCGCCGTCAAGGAGTGGTGGGAGTTCGAGGACGCCGTCAGGAGGAAGGACCTCCCCCGCGCGCTCCGCTTCCTGCAGTCCGTGGAGCCCGCGGCTGTGGCAGCGCCGGGGACCGCGGCGGTGCAGGTCGCGGTCCCCGTGCCGCCGGGGCGTGACTGGGAGGTGCTCGACGCCTGCATCGATGCCGACGACATGCGCCTCGTCGGCCGGGCATACCAGTTCCTCGTCGACCGCGGGGTCCTCGCTGGCTTCGGCAAGTGCAAGAACATCGGTGAGTTGGGATTTTGGGAACGCAGTTGCGAAATGCCTTTCACGATTTGGACATGGCACCGAATTAATACGTTCAGCTTCTTAGCTGTTTGTGAAATGGGGTTGTAGAATTTGGCATGTGCTGATTTGATTGATATAGTCATTTACTATGACGCCTCGCCATTTGAACTTGTCATCAAGTTTATCATTTAACGTCTACTCCGACTGCCTTTCAGATTGACTGTATATATGTATTCCTTTTTCTACAGTTCTGGAAGGGCCAAGAGAAGTGACACCAACGGTTTTGAAGGAGATGACTGGTTTGGAAGGTGAGGATAGAGACAGTGTCCCTGTCCCCTCTCTTCCACTGTGCTGTGATATTCTACACTAAAAAATTGCAGTGGTTGCCAGTTACTACATAGCAGGATGTTCAGGCAGCACTTTTTTCTTTTATTAATCTAAAACGTGAAAACTCTACTGCAACATTCTTTAGCAAAACAAGCTGATAGAGCTGTTTCAAAGGAACTTGAGCTCATCTATTGTGATCTATTACCACTATGGCATAAATGTATATATTTTTTAATTTATTAATTTCTTCAGCTGAAAAACTTGCGCCAAAGAAATGGGGTATTTCTGGAAGTTCTCCGTATGTGCTCGTTGGATTTCTTGGAGGTGTATCCTTTCTACTAACACAAGGGGTTGATCTACGGCCTAAATTGGGTGCTGTATTGGGATTAGCAACAGCCGATGCATTGTTTCTTGGTGGTACTTGTCTCGCTCAAATCTCATGTTTCTGGCCTCCATATAAACGTCGGATCCTTGTACACGAAGCAGGCCATCTTCTTACCGGTATGGATTTACCTTTTCCTACCTTTTTGCTCTCACATTATTCACTGGCTCCCGTTTTATGAGAATAGTTTTCGCTTTAACTTCTCCGGTATGTAATTTGTAATTTATCTGATTTCTGAGATTCTACTTGAGTAATGTTCTTACTTTGCACTTATTTATAGCCTATCTAATGGGCTGCCCTGTACGAGGAGTCATTTTGGATCCATTTGTGGCATTGCGAATGGGCATCCAGGGCCAGGTACAACTATTGTTAGTTTTGATACTGTGGCTATCTATCTGTTGCGCTTGGTTGTCTATTATCCAATGAGGCAGTGTAATTTCTGTCCCTTCAAAACTTCACCACACTTTTTGAGGGCTAGGCCTTAACATGGATTTTTTGCACAATATCTTTTCTGTTCTGCAAGATTTGTGATCAATGTTCAGACAACTATACATTATCATTGGTATTGTTGTGTATCCAAACTGCTCTCTCTCTCTCTCTCTCTCAAAATGTGACGAATGATGTTGTATATTTTTTAGGTTTGATATTATCCTTAAGGTAGTTAAGTCCTCATGAGATTTGAGGTCACATGATCACATCTGTTTTTTCTTGGCTCACCGTATTACACTTGTAGTTGATTATTAGATTTTCTGGCTTTGCATTATATACACTTGTAGATGTATTACATTCCTTTTTCTTCTGGAGGATCTCAGGCTCAGCTATCGTGCCATTCCCATTTTGGTTTTATCACCTCATGCCCTTTATATATATCCCACATGTTATAGAACTCTCATGGGTGCTTCAGTACCTCTGCAGGCAGGGACTCAGTTCTGGGATGGAAAGATGGAAAAAGAACTAGCCGAGGGTCATCTATCAAGTACTACATTTGACAGGTACATAAACTACTTATTTATCTGAATGTTGGCAATTGGAATTCTCGGACATCAGTTGACTTTTCGAAATTGGCAGGTACTGCATGATTCTGTTTGCCGGAATTGCTGCTGAAGCACTTGTTTATGGGGAGGCAGAAGGTGGAGAAAATGACGAGAACTTATTCAGGAGTTTGTGCATTCTACTGAACCCACCGCTTTCTGTTGCACAGGTTCATACTATTTTGCTGTTATCTTGTATGTCTTACTTATTTCTGAATAGACCTTTATGATTCATCAGTGTTTCTCCACTGCTTATCAGATGGCGAACCGAGCTCGTTGGTCAGTCATGCAATCTTATAACCTCCTGAAGTGGCACAAGAAAGCTCATAGAGCTGCAGTCAAAGCACTGGAAGACGGGCATAGTCTCAGCATTGTAATCAGAAGGATAGAAGAAGCCATCGCCTCTGACAGAAAATACGACCATTAATCCTTTACATGTGTTCCTGCCAATCAAGCTTCCTTGGCACCTTTCACAAGATGCAGAGAAGGGCTTTCATAATTTGCAGTTTTTTTTTTTTGGAAAGGTAAAGCACAAAGGGTTAGTGTCATAGTGTGTATTGGAACAGGAATGACGCTTTTGAAAGGAAGGCGAGCGATCCTGCAGTGAATAGTGGAGACCTGAGCATATGATGGACGGACTAAATCTGCTGATGCATTCGTCGGTGATTCCAAGGAACTCAAAAAGTTAATTGAACTATTGATGAGTATGTAAACAGGTAGGCATAGAGATAAACAATGGAGCACATTATACATGCGCCCTCAGTGCACAGGAATGGATGACTATTGACCACCTTCAAGGGGCTACTCCTGGCAGACCTGGCTCGCAAGCCTGGAGCCAAACACTTTGAAAGGGGTTTTATGCTCTGGTTGTCTTGGTCATAGAGCAACTCCAAAAGCATGTTTATATCCTTCCTAAATCATATTATGTTGTATAATTTTTTTCCTGATTTTTATTGGGTTTTATAGGAGTTTAAGAACATAACAACGTAGTATTATATAAAGGTTTTGGAGGAGTTTTGATATTATATATCGTATCTTCAGTTTTTCCCATAGGGGTTTCATATGAGTTACCAAAGATATAGTGAATTACAAATTACACCTCTGTTCTTTAAACATACTTATGGTTTTTTCTCTTTCCAAATGGGTACCCATATGTCATACCATTTTCTCCTTATTTTTCTCACTGGGTTTAGGAGTTTAAATGGCAAATCTGTACATTTCTCAGATTTTTCCCACAAGCATCTCAAGAAATATTCAATCACGGAGAAGTGTTGTCAAACGGATGCCTCTTTAAATAGTTGGCAACTAGTATTAGCAACGGTCTTAGACAATTAACATGACATCAAAGGGACATGTCCATTGACACATAGGGTGAAAATGATTGACTTGTCCTTTTGGAACAAGACACTCTTTCACCTTACCAACTCACTGTGTATGCATTCATACTTTAACAACGTTATATTGGAGAAAAAATGTAAGGTATGTATATCCACGTGGTCTTTTATTTGGCAAGCTAAAATAGTAAGAGACTTTTCCCTGTGTGCCATTATAAAAGATCGAAATCCCCTGTGTGCCCCTAAAAAAATTCAACGGTTTTCAGCGCCACTACTCCAACTTTTTCAGGTCCTCCATGCCACTTCCGTCAGTTCAGGCTCTAACGCCGTCAAACTGCAGGTGTGAAAAGACGAAAATGCCCTTAAGTTCAAATATGTTATTAATTTTTTTTGAGCATCTTAACGACTTCAAATGAAAAAACTCAAAACTAGAAAGTTGTAGATCTCGTCGAGATCTATAATTTTCATATAAAATTTATTTTCATTTAATTTCGCAAAAAAATATGATTTGATATGATTAATATATCTTAGAAAAATCATCATTTTTTTTTGCGGAATTAAATGAAAATAAATTTTATATAAAAATTATAGATCTCGACGAGATCTACAACTTTCTAGTTTTGAGTTTTTTCATTTGAAGCCGTTAAGATGCTCAAAAAAAAATTAATAACATATTTGAACTTAAGGGCATTTTCGTCTTTTCACACCTGCAGTTTGACGGCGTTAGAGCCTGAACTGACGGAAGTGGCATGGAGGACCCGAAAAAGTTAGAGTAGTGGCACTGAAGACCGCTGAATTTTTCCAAGGGCACACAGAGGATTTCAATCTTTTATAATGGCACACAGGGAAAAGTCTCAAATAGTAATTTGGGCACTGAGGATGGTACGTTTGCAAACCCGCTATTGAGAATGCTACAGAGACTGACAATTTAGCCCTTTAATTAATTAGACACAAAATTTACTAGATTGGTATTAAAAAAATACATATTAGTGTTATTGCCAGTCAAAGCATTATCCTAATAACAAATAAAATATACCTCGTAAGGATAACAACGTACCCTTTTCTTGCATAAATCTATCGAGTATCAACCTAGATTGTTCTTTTCAAAAAGAAATTAAAAATAGTAAAATACCAGTGTGAACGGATGACAATTGACAAACACCAAAAGCTAGCGACAAATATCTGATAAGATGTCAAATTGGTGCTGATTTTTTTGGAAGGAACCTCATTACCACAATAATTTAACATTAACATCTCAAACATCTTAATCTTTTCCTATTCTTGAAAAGAGAGGAACGTAAGTACAGAATGATATATATAACTACTCATAACATTCCATTGTTATAATATCCCATTGTTGAAAATGTGACCTTAAAAGGGACTCTAATTACTCCAGGATCATTGGCACTCCTTCGCAATGCAAGAATCCTTCCCTTTTTCTGGGGAAGCTGTAGACTTTCTCGAGGCAAACAACTGTCAACTACCAAGATATCATGAGGTTCATAATTTAGCATGGCCGACTGTGGCTCTTTCAAGATGAACAGATACCCTTCGTGGCTTCCAGACTTCTTCACTTGGAATTTGATGAAGTCAGCACTAGCACGGATCCCTGTTGCTAGGAAACCAAAATGTAAACTCCCGCCATGAGAAGCAACAATAACAGCGGAAATCTTCCTCGTCTCTTCCTTCACAACATCATCATATATTATCACCTCCTGCTTAAACCCGGTGCTGCGAGCAACAATCAGGACATGGTCACCAATCAATTCCAAAGGAATGTCAACTTCAACAACAGCTTCTATCCCATGCTTGATAAACATGTACTCCATTTCAAATGCACCAAATGGGCCATCAATTCTAGACTTGAGCTTCTTGTCACGAATGATCCTATTCCATCTAAACTCAATGCATGAATCAATAAGAATAAGATCATCAGATTTTTCGTTTTTCTTGGCCTTCAAATTGATTTCAACCAATGCATTGTTCCACACAGACATGCCACGAACGGGTGAAATCAATGGCAACACAGAGGAATCCTGCACACCACAGCAAAATAACAGGGATGAGCATTATATGTTCCTCCAGGTACAGGACAGCGTACATACATAGTCAAGAATAAGGAAGAGTATGGTTGTTTCTCATAATCCCTCCCTCACTCCCCCTCTCACACACACATGCAGTCCTAAATTGCATATAGCAGGTTTTAGTTCGTTAATTGCATGGTGCAGGTTCTAAGATTCATATCAGATTCCATCACCCTCACTCGGTCACTCCCCCTCTCTCACACACATGCAGTTCTAAATTGCACATAGCAGGTTTTAGTTCGTTTATTGCATGGTACATGTTCTAAGATTCATATCAGATTCCATTTTTTCCTTTTGCAAATAAAATCAAGTAGTCTAAACTCTAAAATATATTATAGATTACTCCATTCAGTAATTTGGTTGTTCAAACCTGTCCAGAGTATCATTCTGTTCAGCAGAATTGGTTTTACTAATGCATGTAAAATGAGGCATGAGAAATTTGATGGGCTTTGTTCATTCCTGACCAGAGGACCATTCTTTTTTTTAATCTGAAACTTGTTCATTCATTTATTAGATTAATGCTGGGAAAAGAATAGATTGTTGCAGCACAATTTTCTGAAACCTCCACCATATCATGTATGTGCGAGATCTAAACTTTACATGAACGTCTTTGGTGATCCGTCAGGTTAACAGTTTTCCAGTAATATTATGAACACACCGAGCAATGGGCAAACTGCGTTTAAAGATATATATTTAATAACGACGACATAACAGGTACCGTTCCACAAAAAACTCCATTTATTGAAATCTTCAGTAAAAAAGGGGGCGTACCCAGTGCAGAGAGCTCCCGCTCTGTGCGGGGTCTGGGGAAGGGTGTCTGTTAGAGTACGTCAGGGGCCTATTGGGCCTGGGTTGGCTGTATAGCCCATTAGTGTTAGGGTTAATTAGAGATAAGGGTCGTTTACTTAAGGGTCAAGTAAGCCTTGCTTAGGAAGTAAACCTCTCTATATAAGGAGAGGAGATGTATCGATCTGAATTAAGAAGGAAATCCCTTCCCTCTTGCCCGGCCGTGGGCAAACGCCCCGCGGCCGGCTCTCTCTCACCCTCGCAGCCCTAGCCGTGAATAGTGTAGCGCATCAGCCGCCGTCGCTCCCATCGACTCTCTTCTCTCAATCCTAGCAGCCACATAACAATCTGGTATCAGAGACTTGGCCATGTCGATCCCGTTGCCCTCCACCACCGTGCCCCCGCTCTCCGCGGTGGGCCCGCCAGGCACCACCGCGCCGCTGTCCGCGGTCTCCACGTCGGCTAGGGTGCCGCAATCCTCGTTGCAGATGGCCGCGGGTGCGTCGTCCTCCGCCGTGGGCGTCATGACGAACGAGCAGTTGACGGCGGTTGTCCTTGACCTCGGCAAGATGGTGGCCGGGATTCATGCGTTCCTTTTGGGACCGCAAGGACCGCAGCCGATCCCACCACCGCCGCCCACGCAGCAGCAACTGCCGCCGCCACCGCTTCCGGCTTGGATCGCCGGTTTGTCGAAACCCATCTACACGGCGCCTAGTACCGAGCTCTTTGTTAATGCATCCTCTGGTCTTAGGAATCAACATTTAATATATGTTTTGAACGCTCTTTTACTTTCTTAATTCAATGGTAGGGCTCTTGCCTTTTTTTTCCAAAAAAAGTTTTGTACTTAGTCCATTGACTCAAGTCATACTTTCTCAGCGCGCTCGACACGGCCGGCAAGAGCACGGGCTCCAAGTCCGACAAGAAGCGTGGGCCCATGCCGCTCTGCGTGTACAACCTCGGCAACACCTCGCCGGTGGCCGTCACCCGCATGGTCGCCATCCTCGAGAAGCTCCTCAGCAAGAAGGCGCACAAGCGCGTCGTCACGATGCCGACCAACGGCGACGTGCCGTTCACGCACGCCAATGTCAACCACGCCGTGTGCAACTTCGGCTACCGCCCCGCCACCTCGCTCGAGGTTGGCCTCCGCCATTTCGTCGACTGGTTCGTACAGTACTACAAGGTCGACGTCAGGGGCGGAGGCAATGTCCTCGCTGGCAAGACCGCCAAGAGGAAATCCATGCCCATGTCCGCAGCATCGTGAGGAGCCGTGCCGCTGCCGCTGCGGCGTGTTCCCCGGCCCAGCCGTCCAACACCAAGTGTGCATTCGATTGTCCTTGGAGGCTAGCTAGCTAGCAGTGTCCTGTAACTTTGCAAGGTGCTTATTGTTTAAGCCTTGCTGCTTTTGCTTCTTCATGATGCTACCATAGTAGTGCTTAGTGCCATGGAAAAGGATCCATAGATAAACTAAGCTTAACTGCTTAAGAAAAAAAAAGGTAGAAAAAGATGTGGGTATCAGGGTGTGGTATAGATAGACAACAGAGCAAAGCAAAGGGAGCCATGTCTGAACAGAGGTCACTGGCATCCTCATGGTTCAGATAATTCTGCTCAAATTATTACTATTTTTTTTGGGGTCAGATACTATAGTATCTCATTCTTGTTCACTGTGAGTCTGTGACCTATATATGACTCATGCCTGGAACTTAAAGATGTTGTGCTTGATGTAAATCCAAGAAGTTGCAGGCTGCCAGAGCGACATTGTTTAGGTTTCGGCGGTGGACTTGATGCATGCAGCTTCTGCATCTTCCCCACACATATATATATTTAGAGATATGAAGGCACGCCGTCTTGGCGGCCTCCCAGGGTCTCCACGTATGTTCCATTTAGTTGGTTAAGGAGAAGCTTGTGTAACGTGATTATTGATATTAACTGTGTCTCCTTGCTTATTTGACTGTACTTCACAGTTCTGAGTTCAATATATATTAAGCTCGGCGCGCTGGCGGGTTCTTGCGACCAAGAGCCGGTCGTCCTAGCTCGGCGCGCTGGTGGAGGCCGGCGTGACGATGACCTTAGGTTCCTCGATACGTCATTCTCCATCAAATCACAAAAACAGATTAGCATGTGTACCAATCATAGTTACCAAAGATCAATTGCGTGCACCTGAAAATGAATGGCCTAAACGGACAACCCATGTAGCGCTACAGCCTTGGCTGCTCGTCCGCTGCTTGCCCAGCCTCTGCTGCCTGCGTACCCGGCTGCCGGGTTCCTGCGCCCAAGCGCCAGTCGGCCCCAGCTCAGCTCCCAAGCGGGGTGCCTGTCTGCCGGCCCAGGCCCCGGCCCGGCCGCGCCGCTGCCCCCTACCACATGCCGGCGGCCACCTCCAGGCGGAAGCCGCGCGCTCGCACCCCTGGTAGGTTGGGCCCTACCCTGCCTGGCAAGCCGGCCGATGCCTGCTGCCGCGAGCCCGCGCCATCATTGTGTCGCCGTATCCAGAAAATCTTAGATGTTGCCCACGCATGGCCAAAAAAACATAGTATTACCAACACATGTAAACACCTATTATGCGAGCCCTTGCTTCCATTCTTAGAAACGAAATTAGGCCTTGCCCACGCATCATTTGCGTGCTGAAAAGCTAAACATATGGATAGCATACCAGCAGTGCGCGCGCACAAGTGGCCCATGCGATGCAGTAGCCCGGTCCCTACCTAAAATAGGATCTAAGTTGCGGCATCCATATATTACAAACGTTGATAGACATGCAGCGACGTATCTGATTACAATAGTATGTTCTCCATACTGTCCCTCATCTGTACGCTCCTCCTCCCCCACTGCGTATGGCTCAATAAAATGGCACGTGTATCGGGCACCCCTTGCGTGATGTCCTCGGAAGCGCTGCGACCTTATTGAGTGAGCAGCTAGATTCAGCGCCATCCTCCAGCTTGAATGGGCGCTTGGGCAGCCCAGCGTCCTGTGCCGTGTGAGTTGCAGTCGCTTCCTATGTAACAATGACTCAAAGAAATGATCACCTTAAGACCATAACTGTTTTTTAAAGAAAAGAAACAGGAACCTACGTGTTTGCACCCAATGGAGCAAAACCTGTATGCACTCTTGAGTCTCCGTCTGCAGCCAACACATTCAGGCATCATGAGATACCAAAGTTTGGGCCTAAACACGGAGCCTTTATTACCAGACCATTTCTTGAGGTAAACCACTTTATACCCGTTACAGACATACTGTTGCACCTCAGATATGTCAATGAGACTCGACACATCTCATACACGTACCACGTCTCTCGTTGCTTTCTTTAGCACCTGCACGATGAGTTAGGTGGTTATTCAATTAAACATGAGCTACTTAGGGATGGCCATAAAGGAAGGCTTAGGGTTGTCTATAAAGGGCGAATCCTAGAACCTGTAGGGTCCGGTGGGATACATGGTCTACTCGGCAATGTAGGCACAAAGCTTCTTGATGTAGTCCTTGGCAATCTAGGCAGATGTAGTTACAAGCTCTATGGTGCAGTGGGCATGGCTAGCAAACTAGTTGCCGACCAACGCTGCCATGCGCTCAGCACTTAGCATGCTGCACAATGTTTGTTCTAGACTCCAATAAGGGGACTCGATTCACAGGATGCACGAAATGTCTGCGCACTGCGGTCCCGAGAATGGCTACTTAATGGACTTGGGTGGCATTGCTATATTGGACAAACTAGACTGCACCATAAATGACAGTGGTATACTAGACAACATGTACTGTCTCATAAATGTGGACTCGGGAAGGGATTTATGACCTACCCAAGTGGTATACTGGGCAACTTGTACTGTGCCATAAATGTGGACACAGGAGGGGAGTTATGACCTACCTAACCGTACCTTGTCCTATTTCTTACAGCCGCCTGCATGCTGTGTTTCTGTTTCTCGTTTCGTCCGCCTCATGCAAGGCATTAGATGCGTTGTAAATTCCTGCCGCCGACAGTAAATATCCTGCAGGGGAGTAGCTGATAGTAATTTTTTTGCATGCAAAGGAATACAGTAGCTGCTAGTAGCTTTCCTGCGTGTAAAGGAATAGCTGATAGTAAATTTATATATAAGGGAAGAAGACACATGTGGTGTAAATTTCTCCTACCGTAGTAACTATCCTACCTGGGAAGGGCAGATGAATTTTTTTGTCCTTTTATGCATGGCCCATCAATTGTTCATACACTTCATTGGATGCGTGTTTTTTTGTAGTCCTCAGACCATCCACAGGGACACATTGATCGCATATGGGGCTTCCTCTCGCCAACCAAGAAAGAGGCAGCATGGCCTATCGATGGAATTGGGTCATAATTGGTGAACCCAATTCCTGACCCACTCTACCTATTTAGCTCTATGGACATGCCATGATGACGGCTTCTAAATATCGCATCCATCAAACTCTGATGCAAGGGTTTACAGACTACATTAATGTATTGTTATATATGTTTCTTTGTGTGTGTGTGCAGGTCATGACACCTTGCCGAATGAGTGTGGGCCAGGTTCCTGTTAACTGCTGTCGTTTTTGTGGCCGAGGCTTCCACCATTGACCATTAAGTTAGTACACGAGCTGGTCAATGAAAGTAATAGAGCAACTAAGTAAGTGAAATATGGCCATGCATCTGCACTACCATCAGCAGGGTGAAAGGTCTCCATTGCCCTTGTCTATCCTGACTTCTGGAGTAAGCCTTGGTTGTACTAGGTTGCTCTTAACCATGTAACTTTAAATCCCGGTGTAATTTAGTGTTCGACGCCGTGTAATCTTTCGTGTAATTCCAGATTTACGAAATGTGTTGTAGTTTCGCCTAAGGGGAGTGGATCCTAATTTACTCTTTTGTAAACTCTCGCGTTAGGAGAAGTACTTGTGTTGTAGTTTTTGCTCTTTCCAGCTATAATGTAATCCTAGCCAATGCTGTGCTTTGAATCTAAGTGTGTTAATTGCTTGAGTCCAACTCCATCAAATACTTCTTTCCACTAATATGTCATTGATTTGCTGGCCTAAAATAGGCACCATGTAATGACAACCAACCTCTATGTTCATTTACAACATTGTAATGAAAAAATCCATGTTACATTTCCTTCCCATATTTTCCTATTTAATGTACCAAATAGATCAACCTTTCGTACCAACGCGATGAGAAAACATATTAGATATATGAGCCATATTTCCTAAGATTTTTCCTATACCAAGCACATCACCCGCAGTGAAGCGCGGGCAGTAGTGGCTAGTACTATATTATTTTTGTTCAAAAAAAAGAATACTACATTATAGAATCTGTTACTCCGTATCGCTGAAAGCGCCCTTCTTTTTTGGTTGCTGAATTTGATCAGAAAAGGAAAAAAATCTAATGTTACATTCGTGTTTTCCTGCTTCTGATCCTGCATGTTTACTGTCCCAGTAGCCCTAGTGCTCCTTGGATCGGTCTATTTCATCTCACTGATACTTCTTTTTAGGATCAAATGAGTCTGGTAAGTATGAACTTCTCATTCAGTATTTTTCTCCTGCTGTGACCCAATTTGCTTGTTAGAAATATTAATTAACGTATTTATGTTTTGTCTAAACCCTGAACAGTTGGTATGGCACTTTGATCCTGTTCTAACCCAATTATCTTTTATGTAACTTAGTGAAAGGGCACTATGAGCCTGGCAAGTGGTACAACCAATGAATCAGTGAGCAGTGGCATGGGAAACAAGCAGAGCATTATGAGGAGCAGTCAAAGGTGATGCCGTGGCATCAGGACTCACTATTTTGTTTACGTGATTCTAAATGGAAGGCCTCTAGATACAAATGCAACTCTCTTTTTTTTGTCCTTTTCGATTTAGAAACATGTGTTTCGTGGGCTGACCCAGTTGACAGTTGGGTTTTTCTTTCAAAAAAGAAAAAAGGTTGACAGTTGTGTGTGTGTGTGTGAGTTTGTTGGGGGGGTGGGGGCTCAAACCAGCGTGACACCCTCAGCATCCTTGCCAAAGTCAAGATTGTCCAGGTGGCTTTTGTTCCTACTAAAGGTCAAGAATTGGTTGTGTTGCTGATGGAACAAGCAACAATTGGAGGGTGCCATTGCCTTGCAGTGGATGATAATGGCCACCATACCCTTGAGGGGGGTCGGCAGGGGAGCCTGCTTGCTTGTATCAATGGTGATTG